CCAAGCTACAACAATTACGGAATCGATGGAAATATCCGTTTCCGCAATTTGGTCTCTTTCCGCGGAAGAGATCGTGCCAGAGACGTTGGTACCGAAGATAATGATACCCAAGTACGGTAAGTGAAATGTCGAAAGTTAAAACACATGAGCGAGAAGACTTAGTAGCAATTAGTTCAGACTAAAAGGGAAGAACGACACCTTTAGGCATTTGATCAGCAAATTACCGACGTTAGGTCTGTGATAAACCCGTAAATAACACTTATAATGCACAAGTTAATGCATTTTAATGAAGTGGAATTGAATATGAAGGATGGGTGAGAGATTTGGTAATAGGATAAAACCCAAGTACCACTAGGGGATCTTAGTCGAAAAACACATTTGACTAATTTCTGATTGTTGAGTGAGTTTCTCCACTGTAGCCACAGGCACAGGATAGAAGACCTTCGGCAATAGCGATATGTCGTTTGAGGGTAGTTCGGAGCTATTGACAGTAACCATAAAACTCGCATTTTATGAGCCTAAATAGGTGTCAACCTGTGCAAGTATGCTTCGTTGGCCGGTGAGACGCTTAAGGTTGCTTCAAGTGTCAACAAGGGAAAAGGGCAAAGAAGGGGTACAAAAGTAAAAAAATCTGACTAACAAACAGGTCAATCAGTCTGGCAATCTCCTTTCATATCAGGGCTTTAACATCCTTTATGTTGTCAGACAGGCCTAGTTTGCAGAACAGCCCCATTTACGCCCTAAAAGTGTTTATATGGAAAAAAACAATTTTGTCCGGTTTAACCATAATGGTTTCCAGAGGACAACAATTTCATTTAAAAATGTTGCAAAGTGCTCTCCAGCTCCTCGTAAAAGGCGGATCACCCCATTTTATCTCACTGTTTGGGCCGTTTTAACAAGCTACCCTAAAAGGCAACCTACGTTCAGATGTCCCAGTGCTGTCTGCTACTTGGCTCTTTACCGAACAGACAGTTTCCCACCAAATAAACACCATTCATATTTGGGTTCGGAAGAACTAACGGTGTGCTAACGTACGCATTTAACAGCCGAACGCACACATAAAGACCGCCAACTTTGCGGTTGAGCGGCGCACTTCCAATGCTTTCGTCTGCTTGATTCAGACTCATTTGACTTTGGGTTATTTGGTCATTCTCATCCTCCCAACAAAACGAACTGCGATCGCAACCTCACAAAGGACAAACACCAATGAAAAAGGTGCGTCGATGCACACTGAAAGCAAATGCAGATACCAGGCATCAATTTAACTTTGAATACTACTCGAAGACGTGTGGCGTGTCTCACGGATTATGCTAGCGGAGACAATTTCCGTGTTTGTACTTTCAATACGGTCGGCTACCAGTCTATTGTAAATAACACAATAGAAAAAATAAACCCCACAATTCAGTAATACGGGGTGAGAGTACCGTTGTTTTATTATTATTTAATTTCATTATTTCAATTTATTTTTAAATTATCACGCGCTTCTTCGTTACAATATATAACCTTTTTTTATAATAATTTTATCTACCATTTACTATTTTTGTTTAACAATTTTTTCTCTCCTGCACCCCCGCTCCCCTAATTCCCCACTTCTATTGCCACCAGTCCCGTACCACACAATTCTGAGGTCTTAAGTTTCCGTGGCATTACCTACAATACTGTTACCTGTAGTTGTTTAGTGGATTGTTGCACAATATCAGTCAAGCCACAGATATCTCAACGTAACAGTCTTTTCCGTTAATATATAAAGTCCATGCCTTTAACTGTCTTTCCACATGGTCATTATTTTAGCCGACTATTTCGACCGCAACGAAGTCTCGGCTTGCGGTCAGCCCGATCTCCGCGCTGCTGGTCGGTGGTCACGTTTAATCATCCATATCTACCGCGTTTGACCTCTCGCTAACAGCATATTAAAAGTAATCCGACGGGTAGAGCATTACGGAGCTGTAGGAGAGAGAAAAGAAACGAAGCAAATTAAACAAACACGATCAAGATTAGACAAGGTTAATATAAGACCTAATATATTGCAAAGAAAAAGCGTGCGATATTGGAAAAATAAAGTAAAATCAAAGACAGTACACTTAATAAATTAATGAAATCATAAAGTAAAAATAACTTACCACTATCATTGGCCCCGTTTTACGAATTCTGAGATTTTTTCCGTGGTATTACTTATAATATCCTGTTACTGACCCCTCGATACTGCCATCCTCACACACATTTTTGTTTTCCACTTCAGATACCTCCTTTTTCACCAGCTTCGTCGCGACTTTCTCAGTGGTCGTCTCATCGCCCCGCATGATATCCTCATAAAGATGGCTGCTCTGTTCGTTGAAGGCAAGCATAATTAACAATTCATGTAGCTTGAATACTTTTATAGTTAAAACAGTCGGTTTGAGTCAAGCCAAAACTTTGTATGTGCGTTTTGAGAACATAGTTTTTCTTGCAATAAGTCAGAATGCAACCTGCATGAACCGCTTTATGGCCTAACTATCACCTAGGAAAAGGTCATTAAAAAGCAACTAACGTCTCCGAAAGAAATTGCACCGTCGTCTTGAGCAGGCCTAATGATGCAGCTTATGCAGAGCCAGTAAACTGAATTAGTAATCTCGTGCTCCAGTGTATAATATATCCCCTGAGCCAGCAAAATATTTCTATCAGTGAAGTGTATATAGGGCCGGAACAATGCCCAGTCTTCTCAATAGTACTGCTGTTAGTTAAGTAACTTTAAAAACAACTTTGCTTCATTTTGCGGCGCGTTGGCTGCCCTACTAGTTACGTTTTGAAAAAAAGTAGATGGAATCATTTTACGCACCCATAATAGGAGCCTAATAAGGCGACACAACGACGCGACAGCTTTTTGACATGTGGTTCTAGACTGAATAAATTAGGCCTGAGTTGTCAAATAGCCCTTCAAGTTCCGGCAAAAGAACTTTAAATTCACACAGCAGGGTGACATCCACTCGAATGCGATGTCCGATGACAACGAACTTAGAAACCCTCGTATCACGGGTGACTATGCGCTAAATTACAGGGCGTTATTTATCTTGGTTTGCCACTGCACTTTCCCCGCCCATTGAAATTTGGTACAGGGCCACCTGTAACATGGGGGTGTACCTACTCCCACGTGTCAGCACGATTTAATTCGTGTTCTGTGTTGTGGTTAAATAATCGGTCGGTAAAGGATAAGCGTTCTCCCCCCCCCACCCGAACAGAAGCGAAATGTCACGCCTAATATAGGCACGGTGGTAGAAGGGGAAAAAACGTAATTGCGCTGAGTACTCTTTTTGCTGCATGACAGTGCACTACATATGACACAGAGCTGCCTGTAACATGGGAATGCTTGTGAGAGTGGTCTCTTAAGAAAGAATGTGTTCTTTTATAAATAAGTAAAAAAATGAAGCTCAATCTTTGTGCTGCTGTTGGATTGAATGCCTAAAAGGACGACTTGTAGGAATGTAAGTTAGGGAGCCTAACATAGTCGTGGTCTAGAAAGCAGCCTGTAAAATGCTCATCTATTTTGTATACTTAAGCGACGGTGGGTAACGAAGTCCGTCCCTACACTAAAATGAACACCTTTCTAATCAGCCAAAATCTGCCAACGATATCCATTCAATGACCCCTGTGCTTTCATATTTAACTTTCTTCGTAACTTATTTCTTATTTTAATTGTTACGCTCTCGCTCCTGTCAGTTCGTTTGCAGACAATAGTAAGAGGAAAGAGTGCTGTCAAGACTCAGATCAGGAAGTGGGCAGGTTTTGTGCTTTGCTGGGATGGGACTCGTAAACTGCCGGATCCTTTTTATAGCCTAAAGTTTCGCAATAATGGGCTTCCGAAAACATTGAACGGTTGATATCTCGGATGTTGCCGCGCAACATAGCTCCAATTTCTTCACTTTGGCGGCAACAGTGTTTTTATACGTCCGCTCGGTCTGCACTTCCGGTCGTTTTGTCGTATTTATACGTTAGCATCGAACGTGGTTTGGAGATGATAAGTGACAACATCGTCTTTCGGTTAACCTCGGTATATTTCTCCAGACGCACCTAATTATACTCATACGTCTGACCAGCAAAAGTCTATTTTTGTATAAATTTAATTTTCGAGCTTCTTAGTTTTAATTTGAATCAAAAGCATGATAAGAACTATTTTCTTTTTAAAACTAGCCTATTGTTTAAGAACTCATTTCAAATGAACCGTTCGAGTCATGCTTAAGGCTGATAGTTGAATTTCTACTTAGCAGGTCATTTATTTTGTTCAGACACTTCAGTGGGAAGACAGTTTACGTAACGGATGAGCTCTTAGTTTCAAGGTATCGTTCTGTCATCGTGAGCCAATCGGCTAATTGACAGACTTCTTTGTATTAATGCGATTTTTTAAAGATTGTACGTGACCAGTAGTAGACTACTAGTATCTTCATAGACAGGATGAAATATCACTGGCATTTTCCGTGTGATTTTCGTGACGGTTATTATTTATGTCATCGCGAACAAAACTTGACCTTATACCAAAACCATCCAAGCTAGGCTTCAGCAAAGTGATTCTGCAGCCCGTCAAGAATGGATCGCAGATGAAGAGAGCGACTACGTGACACTCGATAACCGATTGTGGCCTCCGGTTGTTTTTTGAAAATCGCTGTACCTCAGCAAACGTTTCCGAACAAAGTGAATCCAAGTGTAAAAAAGTCGTCAATGCTTATCAAAGCGGTTGGCAAAAATTATTTATCTAAATGTTCAAGAAAAGCAAAAGGCTGTCCTGAGGCGTGGCGATCGCCTAACCCTTAAAATAACGTCTCCAGCCGTCTTTTTAAGACTTGTATTATCTGAACTTCATTCTTGAACGATAAAACTGTTTCCTCCTCTTTCATTGGCTATCCCTCCTACGCGCGCCAACACATACACATGCATACCTAACAGTAATACTCGGCGACGCCTCAGAATTGGAGCCTCAACCACCAGCAAACCCCGCGGATTCGCTCGATGCGCCGACGTACCTCTCAAACTTTCGCTATCTACACACACAGTCGAAGCGCGCCGAACAGGAGGTGATTGCTGAGCACCGGAAGTTGCAGTACGTACCTAGTACTGATTGTGGTTCCCTGTCTTTTTACTACCTCTCATCCTCCCTCCCCCTCAGTAGACTGCTGAGTATCACTTCGGACACCAAACTTCCAAAAATCTGCTACACAGGACCGGTGGTAATAGGGTTATACGAGGGGGCATTACGGGGGTGCAGGAGGGAAGATAAAAGAAATCTATGAAAGAAAAACAGGAAATTGTCCATAAAAGTTATTGTAAAAAGTTAATATTTAGCAAAGACAAAACGTGCGATCCTTGAATTATGAGCGAAGGTAAAAAATATTCAATAAATTCAATAAATTAATAAAAGAATAAATTAAAAATAAAAATAAATTACCATTACAGAATTCCGGGGTATTTCTTTTCCGGGGTGATTCATATGATAGCGTGTGGCCGTGTTCCAATCAGGCTTCTGGGTTTTCCAATATCACATTTTGCAGAATTAGAACGATTGTTTGAACAGACAATCGACAATGGCGAAGTCACAAGAGCGGAAGGCCTTTGCCTCAAAATAGTGTTTCTCGAGGCCTTACTGTGATGGGGAATTAACCATTTTGCAAACAATGGTGTTGGTTAAGTGCTTTGTTCCACTAGGATGGTAAGCCGCTCTTTCGTTAATCCCCTGTAGGCTACAGCGTCCTTGTCATACAGAAAAATGTGAGCGATAGAGATACTTTCCAGGCTAACGAACTATGACCAAATTTGGTCATGTGGCAAATGCCAAAATTCGCATCCTCCATGCTATACCCTGGATTGCGTGTAAGCTACCGATGTCCAAAACGATCGACAACCAAATCCAGTAAACTAACTTGAAGTAAATCCTTAGGCATAATACTTTTCAGGCTTGGTTCAACAGTTAATATGAATATTAGAAACTTATGTGGCCGTCCCGCTGAAGCTGGCGGGTTTGGACTCATATATTCATGTTGGTAGTCAGACCAAACCTGAGGAGATTTTTCCCGAAGGAGTTTCTTCATGCTTGCGCATTAATTTTTGATAATATTAAACAGTGGAAAATTAGCAACTGGAGTTTATATCCGAAAGCGCACAAAAAACACTGCGGTGACCCATGGATGAGTCCACTCTCTCGAAGCTACCTCATACAGCCACAGAAAATCGGCGAACACGCGTGTCTGGGTTTTTAGCCAGTACTTGTGCTGTCCGTATGTTGCTGTATGCGGTATTTGCGTTTGCTAAACCAGTGCATTTAGGTAGGCAGAGGGTTGGTCAACCTCCCTTTGCCACAAATACGCCGGAAGGAAGTGGTAGTTCCCGCTCAGAAGGGATAATCTTGGCTGTCACAGTTAAAACTTTTTATACGTCCGGTTGAGTTGGATTATTTATTTGAAGCTAGAACGATATTCACTTCTGCTAGTAGTGTCACACAGAATGTAAAGGAGGGAAACGAACCTAACTGCAGGACGTGGGACTCTGCGGCTAATAATTAACAAGGAGACCAATACGTTGTCTGTCATTAGTTTGCTGCAACTGCGTCCCACGTTCAGCTTCGCGTGCTTTGAATAAACTTCTTATGCGTTGACTCCGCAACAGGTTTTTGTAGGCAGGGGGATGGAAAAGAACGTCACCACAACCTTTGTGAGCTTTCCTAAAATACCCTGGAGCGAATAAATAAGCTCTGAAACCTTCATAATATAGTCAACAGCCTTAAAGATCTGTTGTGAATAATATAATTGCCACCTCCGAGCTGATCGAATACAGGGAGATGTGGAAAGAACACAACTTTAGGATACTGTTAAAGAACACGGTCAATGTCCAACCCCTCCCTACATGCACACACTGTCGACTTTAATTCAGGACGCGCACAACAACGAAAAGACCGCGTACGACTGAGGTTATCTGCTTACTATCGTCCGGGGTGGACACCGCGACCACCCAGCTATCACAATTCCTGCATAAATTTGCAACCTAACAGAGCTACGGCCACCACTATCGCAGCCTGGTACATACAGAACGGGAAGCAATTCGTGTAGGCTACGCGCTGACGGCCTGTTTACTATTCTCAGTCACTATATCTATGCCCACCTTCGATCATCTCGATTCTGTCTTCCCAGCTGAACATGGTGGAAGAAGAGAGGTTGCCGTGGATGCTGTGCAAGTCGTGCGCGTCAGACATTTATTCACGCGCGCAATTCACCGACGCTGAACTCTCCTCGTGGTGCACACAATTGATGTCATATTTTGCCATGATATGTGCAGCTGCCTCCTAAAAGAGGCCAAGCGGTAAGTGCGATGGACCAAGACGGGGGTCAGATCAGGACACGGCAGGTTCTATAAGGGATGCGCACCCGCAGCAGACACGGGCTCTGTGGTCACACGCCTGGTTGCCGGCCCACGGCGGGGCCAACCACCCCCTTGTTGACTTTGTCTTGAAAGCGTGGGTGTGGAAGGAGAACGTGTGGTAGATTCT